ATACAATGGATACATGGTGTAGTAAAACCCTTGAGGTGATGCCGTGGTCCAGGGTTTATCATCGGCATATCTGAGCTTACGCTGAGACACCAGTCCCATAAAGCGGTTGAGGGATTCATCCGCACGGACACCAGTCAGTATCGCCACACCGCACCGGTTACCGGCAAACCAGGAAGAAAATGCCGGAACAAATTCTTCAAAGGTCATGGCATACCGGTAGAAGGGAAAATACGCCATATCCGTAATGGCCTCTTCCGGTGGCTGACGGACCCAGGTCACACCAGGTTCCCAGCATATCCACTCCGGCTGAAACTGTGAGACACCGTTTACCGTGGTCAGGGGAAGTGCCACCCAGTAAAAGGTCTCCGTCACATCCCCGTACATATTCCGCATCTTCTGAATATGTTCAACGGTACACTGGTACTGGGCTTCCCAGTCAATGAACAGTACAGAGAATCGACGTTTTTTCCTGCGGGCCACATTTGCCACAAGATGGAACAGTACGGTGGAATCCTTTCCACCTGAAAAAGACAGACATACCGACGGAAATGTTTCAAAAACCCACTCAATGCGGGCAATTGCCGCACGCAGAACGTTATTACCTGTCAGGATTTTTGTGATGAAAGAGTCATTCACTTCTGCTTTTCTCATTAACAAATAAGAGGCTCTCCTCTTCCCGAAGAATTCTCCTGGCTATATATCCTGAGCACCCGGCGCAACCCTGAGAAAAATCAGGAATAACACATATCAGAAATCATCTTCTGTTAATCCCCTGCCACGACGTGTGCATAAAAATAATAAACACCAGACGCTTCCTGACAATAACTACCAGCCAAATGGTCTGCCACAGTCTGTACTGTTATCTTCACACCCATGGTCCCTGATTCGTTCCATTCGTATATCGCGCTTCTGATGTCCTTTACTGTCCTCTTTATATATCGGTGTACCTGCCCCTCCTGTTATAATCTGTTCCCTGCCGCTGTAAATCGCTTCATCTGGCGGAACACAGGATGTAATACAGAACAACACGGTCAGTACCGGGTAACATAATAAACATCTTTTCCTGAACATAATATTACACCGTAAAACATTACTCCTGTTAATCAGAACCACATGCCCGGTTTTTTAATCTTTTATAAAACATTATTTCTCCGCTCCCTCCCACTGATAACGCGCCTGACAATCTCCGGCCGTTTTCTTTCTCATGCCCCTCCCCGGACTCATCATTCAGCATCAGCGAAATTTCACTACTCCCCCCTGAATGTCTGTCTCCGGCACCGCCCTTCCGGTTAACTGACCGGGATGTAAAGCGTACAGAACACCCGCTCCTCATGGTAACGAAAGACGAGTATGTCCACCCCGGGCGTACGGACAACTCCATGAGCGGGCAGGATGTTCATATAAATGTAATCTGCACGGGCCGCATGGGTGGTCGTTGTGGTCTCAAACGTGACAGACAGGTAATCCCCCTCGGCCCATGAGAAGACGTTTCCGCACGGGTTATCCGGTGCGCCCACACCACAACGGACCTCATAATCCCCTTTCCTGCCTCCCACCGGCGTTATTGCCGTCACCACCAACCACTGAGCCTCCTGCTGACAGGCAAACACACTTTCGGAAAATGCCGCCGCCCCGTTATCCCGGACCTCATGTATACGGCCGGAAAACGTCAGTGGTCGTCCCACAATACGGCCTTCCGGAAGATGAACCCTCTCCGGGACCGGAACAGAAAAAGAGATGCCGGCACGACCTGCCAGCGGCAAAAGCCGCCATTCCGGCTGGCTGCGGTACTGTCCGGGCGTCACGCCGGCTGTTTTCCTGAATTCACGGTTAAATGTCTGCTGGGAATCAAATCCCAGACTACAGGCAATATCCTGAAACCCACGTAACGACAGGCGACAGAGCAGGGCAGCCCGACTCAGTCGCCTGCGACGAATATATTCGCCCAGCCGCATTCCCGTCTCCAGCAGAAAAATACGCTGCAGATGTCTGCGGCAGTAACCGGAATAAGCACTCAGTGAATGAATACTCATCCGTTTACCGCTTTCAAGATGAAACTCGATATATTCGATAACCCTGTCAATGGTCATTTTCCGTATCAGTGCCACCCCTGTCTTTTTATCATTCATGTTGCTTTTCACATCATGTTTTCAGACCAAAAGAAAATGACACCCCTCTGGCTCCCCCGTTTCCCTTTATGAAGCCCGGCCCGGCACGCAGAGAGAAAACATGACCACCAACACAGAAGGGAATACTGAACAACAGTTGCGTCTCATTCACCAGACTGAATCCCAGGTCTTCTTTCCAGCCCGGACCGTAAAAACCTCCGGTATTGTTTTCCACAATGACATCACTTCCGCGCCCCATCACACGGAACACATCCCGGAACGTATAAGTCATCCTGACGGAATAACTTCCCGCGTACGAACCAATATCATGACGGGATGATGAGAATTCACGCAGGGATAAAAATGAGAGACCCGGACTCAGGGTAAAATTACCGGACGTTATCGTACCGCTGATTTCGGGGGAAACAATCAGGGCATTTTTTCGTTCCCACCCCAGCACCTCTTCATAATATTCATCCCCTTCCATCCCGTGACTCATGTTGCGAACCCGGGCATATCCCACACCCAGACCGCCCCTGACTGAAACATGTTCAGACAGTCTGACGGTGACATCTGTCCCCACAAGCATGCCATATGACCGCCAGTGAACCACGGTACCATCTTCAACATCCCCTTTCAGGTCAATATAACTCCCCCTGAGATACACCCCGGAGCAGACCCTCCCCGTGTCATACAGACATTCGCTGTGCCAGGGAACAGTCCAGCGGGAATATTTGCCCCCCCCCTCTGTCCGCAATCCGGAAGCACTGATGTCATCCGAAAAATGCATACTTAATATTCTGGCATAAGTGCCTGACAGTTCATGACTGTACCCGTAAACCGGTATGACAATACCTGCCAGAAGTAAAATGAGACGCCATGCTCCCCTGTGATGTTCCACCTGAATGTTCATAACATCCACTCCCTGCAACCCAAAACACACCCTCTCACGGACAGAATCTGTCACGGGAGACACTGTCCCCGGCCCGGGCCCGGGACGCCAGCCCCGCAAAATCCTTCCCGGTGTAATACCCTTCCGGTACCGGAAGACGCTTCATGTCCTGTCCGGGCCAGAGCTGTAATTCCGCCAGCACCGCGGCTTCCGGTCTGAGAGGGAGCGACAGGCGCAGTGGCTTCATATCGCCCCCCGGAACAGATACGGGAAGCCGGTCCGCATCAACATCATAATTGCGCTTTATCACCAGCCACTTGTCCGGCAAAAGACACCGGCTGTTCCACCACACCCTGTCCAGCATACGGAGCTGAAAACGGGTACGGGACGCCGCGCCACCTCCCAGATGAACCAGCACCTGTTTCAGCGCATTCTGCATGGCCGTTTCATACATTCGCCTGTCTGCCGTCTGTCCGCTGAAGATAAGAGAGAGGGCCACTCTTGCCCCCAGAAGATTGGACCACAGATCTTCCGGTGAAAATGCCGACACAGTTTCAGGATAACCCGGTACGGATTCGAAGCCGTACCACTGTGCAATTTCATGCCATACCGCCAGCTGGTATGCCAGACGGGCTGATATTTCCGCGGCCAGCACATAACGGTCCCGGACGGAAGACGGGGGAGTGAATGCCCGGAAAACCAGCCGCCGTTGTGCCAGTTCATCTCTGCCCGGAGACAACACAAACGCCTGCCCCAGACGTGGCCACAGACGGGTAAAAATAAACACCGTCATATCTGCCGTATCACGGACATGCGCCGTATCAACAAATCCCCCCTGCGTGGTGAAAATGATACCGTTATGCTCTCTTCCGCCCCCTGTCAGAGACAACATGCCGGAAACAAAACTGTCGTTGTAATGGTGTCCCCCGGTACTGCCGGCCTCCACCACATTGTCCAGATGAAAGAATGGCAATGGTGTACGGAGCCACGGCACCCTCACCCCCAGGTCATACCCAAACGCACAGCAGGCCCGTAACCCCTCCGGGGGGGATAACGGAGGCATAACCGGCCAGGCACTCGTTGTCATTTCCTTCCCGTCCAGCCATAAAGGAAGCGGAAGTACGGCCTGCGCCTGACAACACCATAACAACAAAAATAACAACCATTTTATTTTCTGTTGTCTGTCAGTAATACATCCCATGCAGTATTATTCCGGTTATGAAATTCACTCCGCAGTAATATATGAATGCCGTTTCAGATATTACCGGATATCAGATTTCCGTCCTGTCTTTGTCAGACAAGAAACCACTGTCTGGACAACCTGTTATTATTTTCGTCGTAATCCACCAGACCGGCTTCATACAAAAAATTCAGACAGATACAACACTGGCGCACAGACATATCCAGTCCGTACGCAATATCAATAACACGAAACAAGACTTCACCATATTTATCCTCCCGGAATTTCATCCAGAGGAGCAGTGCTTCACAGTCATCCTGATATAATGCGGTATTGTCCCTGCGTTTCATGGTTTTGTCACACATAGATAATCTCCTGTGTATGTGGAAATAACATACACATTGCAACAAATATTCCACAAAGATATTAATATATTAAATTTTATTATCGTCAGCCCGGCATTATTTCTTTTTTGTGCACCCGCTGAATCTAATCATGGTATTTATCCTGATACGGCGATAATTATATTATCGCCGTATCCACCGGGCTGTCTTCTCCAGGTTCAGAACCGGTATTCACCGGAAACAAAAAAACTTTTCCGCTTTTCAAACCCCGCTTCGGCGATAAGACTGAAGTGCCGGCTGGGGTCATAGCGTATGCCAGCCAGCATGTTCCACGGTTTTTTCAGATGCTGCCTGACATCAAAACGCGCATCCCCCGTTTTATTCAGTTGTGACAACCCCGCCTGCAGTGCAGGTGATGGCATATTCAGGTCATTCAGTTTACCCCTGAAGCGCTGTTCAACATCCTGGTACATCCCCCCGACCCATACACTCATTCTGCCCGCAGAACTCTGCAGTACCGGTACCGAAGGGACATCAAAGTAATACCCCACCCGGGGTGAGAATGTGACAGTATCAATATGACCATCAAGAATATCAAAGCGTGTCTGCGTATAATTGGCATCCAGCGAGGTGAACCAGTTATTCATCCCGCCCACCAGGGTGGTGCCGACACCATATGTGGTTCCCTGAAAATCCAGACGGAACTTCAGGTTCTGACCGGCCCCCGGAAACGCCCCGCCGGTAAACAGAGGTGTTCGGACCCGGATATCTGATACAGACTGTCCGGTTGTTTTTCCCAGAAGCCCATACAGATTCATAAAAGGAAACACCCATGCATCAAACCGGAGTGTTCCGGTATGACTTTTCTGTCGGGTCTTTCCGGCATCAATATGTACAATATTATCCAGAGGAAGTCTGCCCAGGTGTAACCCGGAAAACCGGATACTGTCCACCGATATCCCCTGCCGGATTTGCATATAATTCAGATTAACACCAAATGGTTCCGGCAGTTCATAACCTTCTGCCAGCTCCCGGAAAAACGGCAGTACAGACTGTTCACGTCTGACTTCCGGAGCAGCAGACACTTCAGCAGCCCCCGCCTGGTGACTGAATACCCCCGGCAGAACAGCAGCCATCAGGGCCGCCTGAATACAGCTTTTCATCATCATCCTGGTTACATCAGCGTTATTGTGTTTCTGAAATCACAGCCATTCTGCTGTGCAGCCATCAGCCCTCGCCGTACCTCATCAAGCAGGGCATTTCGCCTTCTGTACTCAGCCCGTTTTCTTGCAGGGATTTCACCGGCATCTTTACGGGGTAGTTCCGGAGGCAGGTACCAGAACCCATCAAAATATTTTCCTCCGGCAGACTTCCAGCACTCACTGTAACGGGCAACAAACCGGCCCTTTTTCTGGTAAAAATAACGCAACTGCCGCATCACATGATTGTCCTCACTGACAGCCACTATCCCCCCGGCTCCGCACATCCCTGCCACCACACTCAGTGCCTCACAGAGCAGACGGCGCGGAAACAGGCCATAACAGGCACGGGTGGCCTCCCGGATAATCGCTGTGCCCGTCCCCGCTGCAGGCCCCTGCAATCCCCCGACAAACACCATCCGGTGCCCCTGCCAGTAAAGAAGTGTGAAGGAAATACGGGTGATAACCTCACCATTAAAACGCAGTATCAGCATCAGCTCCCCCTCGCGGTCAAAGCCACAGGGAGAACAACTGATATCCAGCCACCTGCCGTCCTTCCCTTCGGTGCGGACAAGCGATGTTTCCCGGCTGACGTTCAGCATTCGCCTGACCTCCTGCGGAAGACTCCGGATAAGATGATAATGGTCAAGAACTGCCTGTACCCGGAATCCGGTGCGACTGTTCCGGAAGAGATAGGGACGGTGAATCTTGGCCGGTAAGGTCGGGTTGACCTCAAGAAGATCGTCGATATCGCTCAGTTCACACAGGGCACGAAAATAACGGGTTGTGATCAGAGGATGACAACAACAACGCAGCAGAAATTTATAACGAAACTTTCTGTCCTCCCACTTCCCTCTGTGGAAAGTACGGTCAGTCATCAGTTTCACAACAAGCGAAATAACAGACAGATTACTCATAATATTCAGATGGTATGTCAGATATCAGATAACACAGTCCATAACTCAAAAACAAAATACCCGTCTCCCGTACAGGCAACATCAGAAGGGCAGACAGCCCAGCGACAACAGCCTGTCAAGGGTTACCTCCATACTGAAACGACTCATCACATCCCTGCGGGCCATGGCCGCCATTTTCGCGAACCCGGCCGGTGCGGACAGGTATGCATGCAGGGCTTCCAGCCAGGCCGGCCGGTTATCCGGCGGAAGCAGAATACCGGTCCGCTTATGATGAATGACGCAGGGTAACCCTCCTGTATTACTGACCATTACCGGCACACCACATGCAGCAGCCTCCACCGCAACCATACCAAATGATTCACAGGTGGAAGGCATCACCATCAGGGAAGCCACCCTGTAGACCGGATATACCGGCGTAAGATGACCACATATCAGTACACACAATTCTACGGCGTAACAGGCTTTCCTCTTCCGGAGCCCCGCCACCGACAATCAGCCAGTGAAACTGGCCGCCCTCACGTTTCAGATGAAAGAGTGTTTTCAGCATGAAATCATGGCCTTTCTCCGGACGTAACATCCCGATCTGAACTATGACCGGATGAGGAGCTCTCGCTTCCAGCCATTCACGAACATGTTCCGGCAGAGGCATGCTCATGGCTTCCCGGATTGCATCAAAATCAAATCCCGGTGAAACCACCCGGATGGTGTTTGTACATCCCGCAGCCTGCAGCGCCTCCTTCATCGCCTGTCCGAGAAGAATATCGGACTCAAGAAAGACGGACGGCTCACGGACGTTATCCAGCAGGTCCCAGCGACGGTGGGTATGTGTGTGCAGATGAAACTCGACCAGCCCGCTCCGGCTCATTTCCCTGACCTCAGACCAGCGCAGCATGACATCATCAGCCCGCCCCTGTGCAATCAGGGTCTCGCATTCCCGGTGAGAAAACATATGACGCCCCCCGCTTTCTTCATGTTGCCGGGCGGGACCATCACCGATAAGCCCCGTGACAAGAAAGATATGAGCCCGGAGACCAAATGCCTGTAACACCGGAAAGGCATAAAACCAGTTATCCAGGTAGCCGTCATCAAAGGTCAGCATGACGCTTTTGCGTGGCAGTTTCCCGCCACAATAAAAGAATTCCATTTCAGCTGCCGAAACAGTTTTCCAGCCATTTTCAGCCAGCCACTGCATCTGCTCACGGAAAGTCCGGAGTGAAAGCGTCACCAGCCCTGGATTATTACTGATATGGTGATACATTAATACAGGTAAATGACGCGCATCAGCCATAGTCATATACAATACAGCCTCCGGACCATATAATCCCCTCTGAGTTATTACACAAAAAAAAGCTCTGGTATTTAATATTAAATGTTTAAATTTTAAAAATTATGTTCGTATATTTACTACAAGCTCAGAAATTCACAACAAAACACACACTCCTGCGATACACTCATTATATCTGCAAATACCACCGAACAGCACTACCTTTACCGACTCTGTCAGACCCAACAACATGCAGCTTGCTGAGTTTCTGTAAATAATAACGCGCAGCATAAACAGACATGGCACAACCATCCGCAATCTGTCGTGTAGTTAATGGTAATAATGTTGTATCACATTCCGCCATAAATTTAATGATTACTTCACAACCATCATATTTTAAATGCATAATCCCCCCTCTGTGTAGTCCCCTTCTCTTATAGTTTTATTTCGTTACAAGAAACCACTTTCTTTCCCCACATTCATTGGTAATACAGCTCATCACCTCAGCGCAAACCAGAATACTTAAGCATACACAGACATGGCGGATATTCATATCCGTTATTCGTGCTATTTCATTTATTGAAAACGCTATCTGACCACATTGTTCCCTTTGTTCCTTCAGGCTGTTTTTTATAATCTTACAACCATCTGCAAACAAATGTAGGTTATTAATATTATACACTGTTCTTGTCACGGGTGGTATTAATCGCATACAGAGCCTCCTGAGAATCAATTTAGTGTATATTGCAAAATAGCACTTCCTTCTGTATCACCACATTTTCCTTTTGTAGTATCCAGAGTAACATCTATTGGTAACTCCACTATCTTTCCATTTGGCAATGGCATTATTCTGATATTCGCACTGGACCCATTGCTCATTTTAATTTTTAATTCCTGCCTTCCTGGAGATGCCTGTATTTCCTGCCCTCCCTGCCCATACAACCGGAAATTTATAAATTTTAATGCCGCACTCTCTGAATTGCACTCTACAGTGTATAAAACTCTTTTCGATTTTTTTGTACCTAATGGTACATCCTCCATAGGTATACTTATCTTATCAGAACCATCAAAAATTCTACACTGTTCTGGAATTATTAATTCACCATCACCATTTGGATATAAAACCGTTGGATTTCCTTTGTCAGAATAATTTATCAAAAGATCTAACGCTTCTGATTTCGTATTAGCAAAGACATTACCTACAAAATAAGTTACCGGAGGTAAACGAATCACACCGGGTGTCAGAAGCTCCTTAAAGTTAATTATTCCACTGACGCTAATCGGTCCCGCAGGAGTATCGCGCCCCTCCCCACCAACAAATGCACAAATTCTCAAATGTTGATCAGGTTTGAGAGAAAAAACAATAACCCGCTGACCAACAGTCACAACCTCACCAAAAGATGCATGCCAATTAATATTATAACTATTGTTATTAATAGTGACATTCTGTGGAAGTGATATATAACTATATGACATTGCCAGAGACCCCGTACAATCACTGTGGAATATCTGGAAATGATAACCACCAGCACCATGGGCATAAGAAATATTATATACTCCGTCTCCTTCAACCTTTGCATCTGTTCTGGCACCGTCTACAACAATAGACTCTATATAGCCCTGAGAAAACACATACCAAGGACAAAATAACAATATCAGCATCAATTTTATCATATATCACCAACCTAAAAGGATAACACTTCACATTATGGAGGGTTTAATGTCGCCACCACAACCTTTTGAAATTTTCCCACACAAGAAGATGACGCCGTACCATATAATGTGCTCGTAAAAATTGTCCTGAAATTATAGTTATTCGCCCGTTCTGTATGTGCCGTAAGTTTTGCTGTCAATCCATCACACAATGACACTTCATTCCCCTGTAAAATCACCTTTGGCAGGGCGGTATCCAGGTTACATTCATAATCAAATTTTGCTGAAGATACTCTTCCATTAGCCGAACCAGCAGAGAACGCTCCATAATTTAAAGTAAGTAAATCTCCGCTTTTGCTGATGCAGTATGAAGCAATGTTTACTGGTGCCTTTATTAGTGTTACAGGAGAACGAAAATAATTTGCAATAGCCAAATTATATACAAAATTCGCATCCTCAGATGCCTGAATTCGCATTACCCTCAAACCAAAACTAACATAATGTTCTCCTGCCGGTAATGTAATCCCAACAGCATTCCCGACAAGATTAGTATTAAAGCTATATGATTCACCTTCCCAACACATTCTTTTATCACTTATGCCTCCACTGGTGTTTCTGGCTACTAAAATCAGAGATTTTCCATTATTCACCCACTGCCACTTTTCAACATCAAAGTTACCACCAACTGAATCATATAATTTATCTGGCGCAGTAAAAGAAATATTTTTACCATCTATATTTATATCTTCAAGAAACCATACCAGATATCTCCATGTGTTATAAATATACTCCCCAGAAGAAACATTACACTTAAATGAATTACTGGGATATCTTGAACCGCTCAATGCTATCGATATAGATGCATCAGAATTAACAGAAGCATTTATCGATGTTATAGTATTACTCATCCCTCTGACATTCCAGTCCGCCGAACAAGATAATGAAATAATCAATAATATGATACTTCCTGCAAACTTAAGCATTCTCCCCCCCCCCTGAGCAAGCCTGGACACATCTTATTTTTTAATTATAGGTAACACTCATAATTATATTTCCTGATTGCCTCCCCCCCCCTTTAGCTTTCAGTTTACTTCTAACAAAAACGCTTGTATTTACATTGCTTGCCACATCCATGGACAACCTTGCAGCACCCTCACCACCATCATATGCCGAAACACTTACTAAACTTTTCGACTCGCCGACATTAATTAATACACCATCATTTTGAACCATCCCTCCACTCAATCGAACAACAATACTACTATTTTTATTACAGATAATCGGCACTGACACAACCTTTATACTATCTGAACCAGAGACAATATTATCATGCCTTACATCAAGCGAACCTTGATCATTATTTATACGACACGCACTATTAACAGACACATTCACTCTTCCTGTAGCCCAACCTGATGCTCCTAAAGAGAGAGCTCTGTTAAAAATTAACTTACTACCACTCTCCGGGTTATTGGTCTCGCTACCATAAGCCCCATGAGTATTTTTTATCACACAAGAAAAAGAACCGACAGGCAACGAGCTTATATCCATAGTAATTCTTGTTGTATAAAAACCATAAATTTGAGCACTTCCTGCAAGGGGAATTCCACCAGCAGGATATGATTTCCCCCATACTTCAAATGATTCATTACCACTATATAAATCAGGATATCGCTCCATAGCACCAGTATCCACACTCGCACCAATAGTACTAACTGTTACGATATAATTCTTACTATCAGCCTGATTTGTGCAAACTGCGTTTTTCGAAACGATATTATATCTGTAATCATATTTATAAGGTCTCGGACAAGTAGAAATATAACTCCCAACGCCATGTCCGCCTACGCTTCCACTCCAGCTCAGACCACTTTGTGCCCCCGTAAGAGTTAATGGGAGACTATATATAACCGCACAATCAGATCCATAAGCACTTACCGAATAAAGAACAAAAAACAGAAAACTAATCACAAACTTAATCATTAGTTAATTTTGCTCATTGGTATCATTCCACTCACGACAACGCTGTGTACTTTTTTCATTGTCCACCGATATTCATCATAACCAGTCTAAACAAAACTAACACACTCCAGCCATCTCATCTTTTTTCCTACAAAATCAGATTTATTTTATAAATAACTGATACTCATTGTTGCTACCGCACTGAATTTTCCGGCATTCAATGTTCCGCCACCCAACTTCCATGGTACCGCTGTAAAAGTAAACTGCCCCGTCGCTGTATTCTGCCCTGTCAGCCCTCGTGTAATTTTATATCCATACTTACCCTGATCTCCGGCACCGATCCTCAAAGGATAAGAGTTGTTCACATCACTCCCCTGATACAAGGCAACCCCCAGCGTTGACGAATTGGCTCCGGTTGTCTTAAGAACATTATCTCCGGCACCAGATAACACCATTCCGTCCATCCGGATATAAGGTGTTCCCTGATAATAATCACAGTTTACCGTAATATTTTTGGTAACAGCATTTTTATGTCCGTCAACGTCATACAGCGACATATTACCAAAAGACACCTGTATTTCTTCGTCATTACCGTTAATTTTGCATGGAGGAATATAAATTTCCCCGGTAATTTTTATATTAATATCCACTGCAATGGCAGACTGTATTCCGAAGAAGAAAACTGCCCCCATTAACATCAGCAATAATTTCGCTGACACTGGTATATTCTTCATTTTATTACCTCTTCAGCCAGTTTTCTGTCACTTTGTTTCAGCCACCAGATCTGTCCCTGCATCCCCTGTCATGTACACAAATGCACCTCATTAACATCAGGACCATACACAGTCCGGTGAATTCCTTTGCCCGAACCATGCCTTCTGTCACTCATAAAACAACTCAAAATTCGCTGTTGATTCATACCCCCCCGGGGTCACACTTTTCTGTGCCAGTGCATCAGGTGTTGCCTGTACATAAGCTTTAAAATTAAGCTGCAGCGTATCCCGGTCAATGGAAGTACCCTGCCCATGATTATGAACCTCACCCAGTTTCACTGGCGTGACACCATCCGTATCCAGCAGACCAACCGCCAGCTTCCCTGCGTCAGGACCTGTCACCTTCAGAAAATAATCAGCCCGTTCTTTCATGCCACTTTCCCGGTTACCGCTGAATGTCAGCTTCACCGTTTTCCGGATAGCATTCGTGTCACACCTCAGCAAACGGATACTGAACCCCTCGGCAGGCCCCCGCCCGGGCGCATACTGAAAATCCTTTACCGGACGCTCCATAAACTGTACGGTCTGATTCAGGCTGTCAGGTGCTATCTGACAGGGACTGTCAAACAGCTCACCATCAAATGTGACATTCACTGCCCCGGCAGACAGACTGAATAACAAAGGCAGACAACCTGCCAGACAGACAATACCAGTCCCGGAAAATATTCCTCTCATACCGCTCCCCCCTGTATTCATTCATAATCCAGCCGCAGACGTAACAGGGCTGGATTTTCCCGTGGATTCTGGTGCCGTTTCCCCTGCATTCGCTCTGTCACCCACCGTCCCACCAGGGCCTGTTGCTGCGACTCACTCAGCCAGTATGTGAACTGATTCGCACCACCGTACACAACAGCACGCCCTGTACTGACCATCCGCTGCTCCGGTTGCAACACACCATCCTCCACTCCCGTCAGCAGGGCACTCTGCATCACCATCATGCTGTCACGCCCTGCCACCGAACCGGCTGATGTCACCGCACCACCGTCACCACACCCCAGCAGATTCAGCTTCAGCACATAACGCGTCATGATGCCTTCCGTGCTTTTTTGTAATGGCAGCTCCACCTCATTCGTCTCCAGTGTGCACGGAGATGACAGCAGCGCACCACTGACTGTCAGCATCCCGGTACGGCCATTGTGCTCATTCACCCACTGGTGACGGCTTTCATCCGCCACGAAAAAATCGTTCTGTGGCACAATTTCATCTGCCCGCAGTACACTGTTCATGCTGCAGCTCACCAGCAGCGCAGCCAGACAGAGTCCTGTCGTTGTCCTGTTCATCTCCGGCACCTCCGGTTAATCCTGTTACTGCGTGCTTATTTCTTCACCGCCGTACAGCGGTCTCCGCTGCAGCTGAACGGCAGAACCGGACGTCCGCCGTAGTCGTTGATGTAGCTCAGGTACGGCGTACTGTATGTTCCGGATTTCACCGTCTGCGTGGACTTCGGTGCCAGCATCACGGCCTCAAACTCGCCTTCCTTCGCCTGTTTTTCACTGCCGCCAAGGCCAATCACCGTCACGTAATACGGCGTCGGGTTTTCAATCCGGTAACCTCCACTGGTTTTGTTCAGTACCAGCTGGTCCTGCCAGACTGCATTGGGTTTCGCCTCAATGGCTTTCGGGCGGTAAAACAGCTTGATTTTGGTCTGCAGGGCTATCTGCAGCACATTCGCCTTATCACTCTTCGGAGGAATTTCACGAAGGTTGAAGTAGAACAGAGACTCCCGGTCCTGTGGCAGTTTACTGATGTCCGGAGTTGTGGAAAGGCGCACCATACTTTTACTTCCAGGCTCAAGACGCTGTACCGGTGGTGTGGCAATAACCGGCCCCGTGGTGATTTTTTCCTGTTTCTCATTCTCTATCCAGGCCTGCGCCAGGTAGGGGAGCTGTTTGTTATCATTGGCGATATTCAGTGTCATCGATTTCTCACCACCGTTAAAAATCGCACGCGTACGGTCCAGGGAGATGGCAGCCTGGGCTGCCGGTACTGCGCTCAGGCACGCTACCGCCATCAGCGTTTTTTTCAGCGCCGGTTTCATTTTCAGCATCTTTTCTTCTCTCAGTTCTGGCTCTGGTGTCGCCTGTGGTGCAACACCGTCCGCTTATCGATTTATGCCTGCACGGGGTTACTGACTGCCGGCCGGTGAAGATGACCGGCAGTCAGCCTCTCGTTCCGTCAGTTCGCCTTACGGCAGGGCAGCAGCAGTTGCTGTGCCGGGTCCGTTTTTTTCGGGATATCCACCACACACTGTGTTTTACCGTCCCAGCCCACATTAAGGGTTTCACCCGGGCTTACCCCACTCAGCCAGGCCAGACCACTGTCTGCCACCATCCCCAGTTCACGGCCTTTTGCGTTTGTCACGCTGGCACCAAATGGCGGATGGCTGTTGTCTGCCAGACGCAACACAGCAAACAAACGGGCTCCTTTCAGGACTTCAAACTCCCTGTA